CTGCTGACGCGAGCACGCTTTTTCTACGCGTTAGCAGGAACGGTACACGAGAAAGAAGGAACGACGAGTTGAAGAGGAAGGACGACAACGACTGATACCGATTTACAATTTCAACCCACTACCCTTCTCTTCTTCTTTTTCTTTTTATCTCTCTTTCTTTCTAGGTCTCGACAAGGGAGAGTACGAGCTAGCTATCATAAATAATTCCTTCCTTTTTTTGCGGCCAGCAAGTAGCAGCAGCAGCACCACCACCAACACCACCACCACCAACACCACCGACACTACCACCCTTGCTACTATACCGAGAAAGCGAGAACAAAGAAACTCGCGTTCTCCGCCATTTTGATGCATATTCCACGGTACGCCAAGAGCGGAACATTTCCTTTTCTTTCCTCCCACCTAGGTGTAAGGTGAAGGGCTTCCTAACCGTCCGAATTAATGATAGAGCGTGACAGACCTTTGAAAATGGAAAAAACTCACATTCCTTCACTCGTCGTCAAGTATCCATTAATTTTATCTTTTCTATCAAAAGGATGAGTGGATAGATCTACTGATCCGAGAATCCTCTCCATCACACATAGGAAAATATATCGTCGTATATCAAATGATGATTCTTAACCATCTTAGAAATCTTTTGACGCTCGGGCATCACTCGAGTTGATCACCCCAACCGATGGAAACGAAGCGTGTAAAATGTGGCCTCGATCAAAGACTTTTCTTTGATATCGACGTCCACGATGAAAATGGAATTACGCGAGAACCCTCCGAGAAGTTTCCTTTAACGCCACTCAAGATCTCTGGCACGCTTCCGGATGCCAGCGTAGACTTGCTGCTAGTTTTAAAACTCGGAAAATATCTCCTCTATTACCTTTCTCTCTGGCGCAAGAGTTTTAATCTTTACGTACCCCCGACGGCACTAATACTATGAACCACCATCGTTTTATTCTCTACCGCGGCAAAAGGTAATTTAGTTGTGTTTTAACTACGCTCCCTGTCGAAACTTCGTCATTCCACACAAATTATTAGCACGTAACAGCAACTTCTAACGTACCATAGATACACGTCAAATTATCGATCGTCAATTTATAAATTCACATTTTTTAAAACGACTGTGAACTCGTATATGCATCTAGGGAAAGGAATGATATTAAAAAAAGAACGATAATTTAAAAATATAAACATATACCAGGTGTTTGAAATGCTGCTATCTATCTATTCGTAATTAATAAATGAATAAATATTAAGATATATTTAAAAGTGTGAAACAAGAAAGGAGAATGGAAAGTAGTCGAGTATAAGAGAATAGTTCGTCGACGATGATGCTCTTGGGTTGTGCGAACCGAGCGATAGGTCGACGCTTCTAATTAAAGTTAAATAATCGTGCGCTCGGGCAAACCGTGAATACGAACCTCCGGGGAGCTCGTTTGCACCCTGGTCTGCTCACCGAGCTTCCCACTACCCTGAGGCCGAACATACCCCATGACTGTATTTCGTGACAACGCGTTGCGTTACCAAGCGTACTTGTCCTACGAAATTTCCAGAGACCCTCGTCCTCTCTATCAGCATCTCTCTCTCTTTCTCTCTCGAATTTTCCAGTTACTAACACCTAACATGCCCGATCTACCCATAGTAAAGCTAAACTTGTGCTTGAATATGAGAACAGAATACTGTCATTCTGTTAATTTAATTATTATATTTGCTCGAATGTTGTCTAACTAAAATGTATACATATATTCTCGGTTAAAAATATATAACAAAAGAGAATACAATGAATTCATTAGCTTAATATAAATATTAGAGAATAATTCCGCGACCCTGTGTGAAAAGCGGAATACGCTTTTTAGATGATTACTAAAGTTAACGGTAGATTCTAAAATAAAATAAATGATGCATTTGAAAAATATTTCAAATATTTAATAAATTAAATATATTATATATATATGTTTTCCTTTCGTATCTTTTGAGTATTTTTTTTGCTGTACAATATTTTTAAATATGCGTTGCAATATTTTATATTAATGACCAACAATTTTAATTATTTCTTTTGCTGGATTATTTCCTAATATTTTTCTATACAGCATTGATAGAATTATTGAAAGTGGAAAAATAATAAATCGCCGAGATAAAATTGCCGAAAAAATATTACTCGTTCACTTTTTTTTATTTACAAGTGAAAATATTCGATCGTCACGGTGTTCGTACTACGTGACCGATTATTTCTCTTCCTCTTTGTCTTTCCTTCTCGCACTCTTGCTCGGATCTATCAGCGACCGGTTTCAATTTGCAGGTCGGGTTATTTCGTGCTACCCAAATGGCGAGCAGAGCAGTGCAGCAAGAGTGCAAGCAGCAATGCTAGCAGCAGTGGTAGCAGCCGCGACCGACTCTCGCGCACTCGTTGCCAATTTGCAATTTCCTGCCAATTCTACTATCTCGCATTCTATACGTATACACGTATGCCACACATATGCCAACACCATATATTTTCTCTCCTCTTAATTTAGGAATGTTCCAAACCCGCGTTTGTTGTTTTATGCTGGATTCGACACTTTCTACATAATTCGAAAAAATCACTTTTAGAATTAATCTCCTAAAATCTTTAATCGAAATCTTTCATTAATTATACTAAAATAAAAAAATACGACTGACATTACAGTTAACAAAAATTTACACGGAGAACATAATAATTTAGGTTTACGTTTGATATGAGAAATTTAACAGTTGTAGAGACGAATGGATTATTATTAAAGTAAATTTCGCAATGTTGCAAATGGGACGACAGTTCTATACCAACATATACATAACTATACATATGTATGTATATCAGATACTTGGAGAGAATCGCGTGTAGGAATGTAACAGAGTAGGAAGGCAGGAGGATGTACAGGCTCGTTGCTTGCCTCTGCCTGCCTGCCTGTCTGGTTGGTTGGTTGGTTGGTTGCTTGCTCGGCTACAGAGATAAACCCTCCGACGAGCAAATGGCCTCCGCAAATGGCTAAGTCTGGTGAGACGCGTTTGCCGCCCTCCTTCTGTAGCTCAGCGTGTACGTACACGTTGTACGAACAATAGAGTTTCGAAAGTTTACCAAGATAATTACAGAAGAAAGAAACATCTGTCTCGTAAAGTCCTCGATAGCAAAGATCTTTTCAATTCATATCTACCCATTGGCATATAATGCAGAAACGCAAAGTGTCAACCGACTTTAATTTATTTGAATATTTTTAAACGGACATGCCTTACAATGTAATCAAATCTTTTTCTATAAGACAAAAGAATATGTACATATTGATTATTTTCCTCATGAATTTTTCCATACTGTTTACGCGCGCATTATATTCTATTTCTAAATTTATATTTGAAATAAATCAATTTCATATATTTTCTATCAGAATGATCAATATTTCATTTCTATTCTCGAACAAAAATAATTATTCCATTGTATTATTTTTCTCTTCCTTTCGAAACGTTTTATCATTCAACGCATGACTTTGTCTCGTAATAACAATCGTGTGCAAAGAATCGGAAGACAAATGAGGTAGCATGATCAAACATCAGGCGTCTCTATCTACCACCCTCCTTGTGTCAGACAGAAACACGCACACAGAGATAAAGAGAGAGAAAGAGAGACTCGTCCTTACAGTTCGACGATCAAAATAATAATTACTTGGCATATCGTTACTTTCGATTTTGCCGGCATTCTGAGCACGACTCGTGCTTCGTTCGCATTGGTGATTATTCGCGCAACGTAGACGGGGTCCCGAGCGGAAGAGGGAGCACGAGGGTGAAGTGTAGAGAGAAAGAGAGAGAGTAAGGGGGAGAAAGCGGGAAAAAGGGGAAGTGGTAGGGGAGAGAAGGAGGGGTCTTTATGATGAGGCCAACTGCGCGGACATCGGCTCTTTTCACGCTGTCGATGTTAATTAGTATCCATTATCACTCGACGCTGTTAATTTCCGTCGCGGTTCGTAAGCGACGTCGTCGCTTAGATTTTCCTCGACCCCTCTACGAATTATCATCCGTATTGTAGAATATTTCCAAAAATGAATGAGCACATTCGATTTTAATTAATAATCTTTCTTTGTTTCTTCATTTCTTCATTTTTCTTTCGAAGGATTATTTTTTTGTGTGTATCGCGTAGTAAATATTAATATATAATCATTGAATTTTTCTATCTTGAATATTAAACGAATAACCTAATTTTAGTGAAGGCTAAGATTGAAGGATCTCCGATTGAAATCAAAGGATTGAAAGATAGACCAGAAATCCCTAGGATATATCGGCAGTCAAGTTTCGACAAATACGCGACACGCTCTTAATTAATACTGATTACCATCCCAGAGTGGCACACTTGCGGTGCAAATGTGGCAGCAATTAGCATCCGCTTGAAATTCGGCTATACCGATATTCGACATAGCGCGGTTGCTACCTTAGCGGTGCCAATCACGGAATATCGATAGCTGACAATAATTAATAGGCTTAACTTATCGGAGGAAAGATACAGAAATATTTGAATATAATCATTCGATAGAAATATAATCGAATTTTACAAATACAAAACTAAAACAGTCTCGTCAATGATAATATTATATCAGTTATTTTAATCTGATTAATATTAGTTTTCTACGATTATAAATAATAATTGAATATAGATTTTTTGTACGTACAATTATTCCACTATCATAATTAGGGGTACACATAGAACGCATAAATTTATGGAGTGATCCCATTAAATCGTTATCACCATTGTTACGGAGTAAACGTGAACGATATAGTCTGGCAGTTTTATTCACTTCAACAGATCCCGAATATTGGATATCGAATTTTATGCTTACTCGTCAAGGTTTTTACTCGCACGTTTTCTCCATCTCTTTATATTATTCTCTCGTTCATTTTTCCCTCATTCCCTTGTTCGCTTTTTGATTTGTATTATAAATTGTCGACGATTGTATTGTAGACGAATATAGGGACGAGAAATTTAATGAGATTCCTTCTTATACGTTTTCCAGGTAAGAGCAGGCAATTTGCACCAGTTGAATATTTTCCACCGCTATTTCCCACAATGGCGTCCAACCAGTGAGCCAACGAAAGGATGAGGGGTAGACAGAGAGGGGTGGGTTAAGGTAGAACAGAAAGGACTGGAGAAGGGCTGGTAGCCTGGCTAGCTGGCAGACTAGCTGGCAGACTAGCTGTCTGGCTCGACGTTGACGATGCTAGTGGGGGTGGAAAACAGGACGAAAAGACGACGACAGCACACAGCGTATATAAGGACGCTGAGAGGGGTGAGCAAGAGAGAATCGCAGGTATTCTAGCAAACTCCTTTATTTCTAATTGCATCTCCAGTTAATGGAATACGCTTAACCGCCCAACGTGACCGCGGAATTTGAACGAGTCTCGCCCTTAACAATTAAACACCAATCTTCGGCTTTTGGTCTTCCTCGTAGTTTTAGTTTAACCAATATGGGACTTATACGAATCGTTATATCTACGATCAATTGTTTCTACTTTTTTATTTGACAAAAGTTAATCTTTTATTTCTTTTCTTTTTTGGCAACTAAATTATTAAAAGTACATTGCAACTTTTACAAATTTCGTAATTTCGAATTTAGAAAGGATTTTAGTATGCAAATAATTGCAATAATACGAATTCGCTTTTTACTTCCGCTGCATTATATTTATTATTTTTAAAAAGCTAAAACATGCAGCACTTTCCTGAAATATCCAAAAATGTTAACCCGCATAGAAAATGATTTCAACATTTAACTTTTGCCAAGACCAAGACGAGTCACGAGAACCGAGAAGAAAGGAAGAAAGAAAAAATAAAGAAACAAAGGGGACGCACGAGTCTCTCGACGAGAAAACATAATTGAAAAGCCAGAACGAGATGGAAAATAAATTCAGAGACTACTGGTCTGCTTGGTTTCGCGGTTAAGAGCAAAGTTTTCCATACATTCACGTTTTTTCTCCTTTCTTTAGCAACAATTTCTTTTCTACGACTTCGTAGCGTTAACCTCATAGCCAGAGCCTTCGAGAAAAAAGGAGAACAGGATGGAGAAAGAGAGGGAGAAAGCTTAGGGTGAAAAGAAAAAGTTTTATCCCGCTAAAGTAACCCTAGGAAAGTTTTTACGTAGAAAAGAAGATACAAACATGCGTGAATATTCGTTTTATGTGCATAAAACACGCGTACCGCGTCCGAAATATCCACATTTTCAAAGGAAAATAACAAATTTTGAAAATCAGCTAATAAATTACATGAAACTTGAACCGAATGAAGCATATCGTTTATTTTTACGTTAATTTGATTTATTTAAAATTAAACGTTTACGAGTATTACAAGGGAAAGAAAGATAAAAATTTGAAAAGCTAATTATCTGAACGCAATAACAAATAAAAGATGATACATTTATGAGTACATAACTTCAAATTTATCTAACAATAAGCGTTTATCTACATCACGTCTGTTAGAATTCGTAATAATATCGCGATAATAAAAAACCTCGCATATTTATCTGTTATGTAAACGACACAGACCATTCATAAAAATTTCTGGGAAAATAAAAAAAGTCGCATTTAATATATATATATATCGATACATAGGGCATCGATAAGATCCGAACGTTGTAGATACGGTCAGTGAAATGTTTACGAACTTGGTAGAGATAATGATCGTCGCGTATAGGACATCGATATACGACGACGACGACGACGACGACGACGACGACGACGACGACGACGACTACGGCAAAAATGGTCTTAAAGATCTGGGAGGTTTTCGGAAGAGGGGGAAGAAGAGAACCGAATATCACCACTCAGTTTAATAGACCAGTAAAGCGGAATTCCCTTAAGAGCTTTCGACGAAATACGAAATGAAGGTAGTAGAGAACGAAGAAATAGCAGAAGAAGGAGAAGAAGAAGAAGAAGAAAAAAAATAAGAATAAGAAGGAGTGGCCAAAGAGGAATAAAAAAATATTAAATGGAAAAAGAAAAGAAAAAAGCAAGACAGAGGAAGTAAATGAGGAATGAGGGAGGATAAAGAAAGAGGTGGATAGGAAAGGAGAAGGGAGGAAGTATAATCGAGAAGGCGAATAGCACGAAGGACGTCCGGTATTTTCTTTTCATCGTGTCGCGTCGTCTTGGAAAGTGGAGCATAGTCAACGGCGTCTTGAAAAAGCTGACTTTTTCTCGGGGAAAGTCGTTACAACATTACGCGTAGAAGAGCTCTGCGAGATTTTTCTTCTATACCTTTTTATGGGGAAAAAGGTAAGGAAGAAAAAGAAGGGAAATATCAACACGTCTACCTACGTCTTAGAAATCGATTTTCGATTTATTCTATACATTGACACGTAACTTTGTGCTTACATTTTCTTTAGTTTTTGCCTTATTTTTTAGCTAACGATGTTGTTACTTTTTTCTAACTCGTCATCTTAATTTTCAATTACATGCACTCCGTGTTCGACTAATTTTTTATTTGAACGTTGTAACTGTTTCGTAATATTGGTGAAGAAAAAATGAGAGAGTAAGACAAGGATGCCTAAAAAACAGGAAACTCGACTGTTCGTTGAATTTGTGTCGAAATATACAAAAAAAGAAAAAAAAAAATCAAGCTATAAGAAAAGCCAAGCAGCACATTCGAGATTTGCGAAGCTAATCGATGCTAACGACGCTTTAATAGCCGACGCCCGGCACGCTCGCGCGATTTATCTTTTTCTTATAACATGAACGATAGAAAATTTTGGCACGAAACTACCAAAATCCGGCTTGAATTATCGGGCCCATCGATTTTTACGTGCTCTAGTTAACCAACCGGATGTATCAAACTTTGTTTTAACCTCTTATTTCTGATAGATCTAGAAAATACGGAAATACAGTTCTCTCTCTCTCTCTCTCTCTCTCTCTCTCTCTCTCTCTCTCTCTCTCTCTTCCTAATATTCGCGACGGAAATAAATACAGTTTAAGCTTATAATATGATATTATTCGTTAGGTAGATTTTCGTAGAATCGATAAACTACGATGAACGACTACAACGACGTTGCTGACGACGACGACTACGACATTTTTCAAGCTTTTCATAATTCAGATTACATGAGATGTAAAATCCGTTGGAGAGTTAAGAATTATGGAATGTATATTTCGCACTGTCGCCATAAGAAGGATGTACGAGGTCAGTGAATTAAGAACGCGTACGTGTATGCGTGCAAATGTGTGTAATATGGTGACAGTTACAAGGAATAAGAATTCGAGGTATGCGTTTTCCGTAAAGCTGTACGCGATCGCGGTTAGTGCAAGTTTCGTCGTGAGAGTTGTTGTTGGGACGTTAAAAAAAAAAAAACAGAGAAAGAGAAAAAGGGATAGGGGTTTAAAAGAAAAAGAAAAAAAAGGGACCAGCTAGTATACCACCATAGCAGGGTAAAAGCACGGTTACAAACGCTCGGTAGAAGGGATGTTGCAGAGTACGGATAAAAACTCGTAAACATCATCAAGCTCGGACTCTTGTTCCTTTTCTCATTCGTTGGAGACCGCAGAGTACGTATACGTTCGTAGGAACCGGCATAAAGCACACCGTTGTCTCGGGCGAAACCGGCCGCCAACCGAGGCAACGTAATTTTTCTCACTTTGCAACTTCCACCGTAAATAATACCGCGTGTACACTCGACCATCCACGCGGTGTGCATTTTCTCTTTCTTTCGCACGTACTGTGACCAGTAGTAGGATGTTTGTGTTTGTGTGAGTGTGTGGAGTAAGGGACCGGTATATTTTGTAGTACCTACGCGCGCCAGTTACAACCAACCTACTTCTTCTTCTTCTTCTTCTTCTTCTTTTTCTTCTTCATGGTGTGCACCGGTGCACCGGTAGAACTGCGTCGTAATCCTTGCACTCGTAACTTCTCGATGAGAAGAAAAGAAAAAAATGATCGCGATTTCAGGATCCAAGGTACACGAGCCCTATGTAGTATTCCTATGCTCAGATCTTCCTATTTACGATCGGTTCAATTTTAACGGATCATTGCAATCGCTTAAGATCATTTTCATGACAAATTTAAATTTACTCTTAGGTACTTTACAGAGTAGCTTAAAAAACGAGTTGAATTTAATTTATTTCACAAGTATTTTATCATTTTACTGACGGACCCTGAGAGAGGATTTCGGCAAGGAATAGAAGAACTTGTTTTCATGACAGGGTTCACCCTGTATACTCGGCGTTCTTAGAACTCCTACTAACGACGTATAAAAATGATAGCGTGCAAGAAGGTGTCGACCCTTAGGTTGCTCGCAAAATTACATTTTTTTCTTACCCTTCGTGGATACTCATACTTTTCCTAGAAAACACACTATACGTGGAACACAACACATAGGTATAGGACGCTCGTGTAATTTCAATCAGCTGTTCTCTTGCACGCTAACTTTCCCTATCCTTCTCTCTTTCTCTTTTTTCTGGAACAACAACAACCGTGCGTACGTTTTTCATGAGAGAATTCTATTATAGTATGGGGTAGGTGGAGTTGCGATACAGCTGTGAGTTTTGGATTATCCACCGTCGATGGTCGAATACCAACGTCTACGTTGTTTGATTGACGTCCGGTTTCTCTCTCTTTCTCTTTCTCTTTCCGCGCTTTAACGTTTTTCAGATTTTTTCCCATTTGATAAAAAAATAGTTTATAAACGGGTCAGGCAATTGACACGTGCCGTCGCTTTTCTACGATCTACCTGCGTTTACATTTTGTTTTCTATCTTTTTCCTTTCTTTTTCATTTCTTTTTTAATATTATTTTGTATTTTTCTTTTTTTGGAAGGGGGGATTTTCATTCCTGAAGCTTTTGCGGTCGGCTTATCGTCGTTCTCTCGTCACCCCCAACGTTCTACAATTTCCACGGTTGATCGCTTGTACGAGAACAAGCTTTTCATGTGGCTTCACGCGAGAAATTCTAAAGCAAACCGTGATTTTTCAAACACTCATAGCCGGAAGTGTCTTATACGATCGTCGAGAACGTTTTCTAACTCTCTCCCTGTATATGAAACTTTTAATGGAAGTAGACTTTTTCAATTTCGTTTGAAGTTTTATATTGTAACTCGACGTTTTATTCATTTTCTTTCTTTCAATTTTTCTTTATTCATTTTCCTATTTTATTCTATTAAAAAAATGCGCAACAGCCTTCTGATTAATCGGTCAGATGGTTTGAACTGCATATTTAAATTATTTTAGCTTGTAGTTTGACTACGGATAACCCTGAACTACAATTAATTTACATAAAATGTATGATCAGTAAAGATGTTACATAAGACATTTCTATTCGAATTCGATTGATG